AGGTATTTCTACACAGCATCTTCTGGAGTCCCAAACTTCCCTTCATACGTGTCTGTTGGGTTGGTGGATGATGTTCAGATCAGTTACTGTGACAGTTTAACCCAGAACAACATTCCTAAACAGGAATGGATGAATAACATGACTTTAGAAAATCCAAATTACTGGGAAGAGGAAACTAAGACATGTCTGGGAAAACAGCAAGTCTTTAAAGCCAATATAAAAATTGCGAAACAACGATTCCACCAGACCGGAGGTTTGTTTATGATTCACTTTCTGTTACCTGTTCTTTAACCTTTATTATTTGTAAAGTGTAACACATATTTTTGCACAAAGCCATGACAATGATTACTGAATATTATTGAATATTTTTTTTGTATCTAATGAGACAAATTTCAGTGCATTAAAGTCCTTTTCAGCATCCCCTCATTAAAAAAAAATCGACCATTAAAACAGTTTCTATTGCTGTCTAAATATCTATTTAATTTAACATTTTGAAATGAAAACAACAAATGATTTATTTTTTGTTGCCATTGTCCAGCTAAAACCTACAAACAGCTGATTATTCATAGTCTTTCAGTGAATATTAATACAAAGTTTGTCTTTTTGCTAAAAGCATCTGTCAGTTTGCTTAAAGGTTTTGTTTATATTTACAGTGAAATACACATTTTTAGGGTGGAGTGTGTGCGTTAATAGATCATATTCTAGTCATTACTGTTGATCAAACTCTGTCTCTTTGTCTCAGGAGTTCACGTCTATCAGCAGATGTACGGCTGTGAGTGGGATGATGAGACTGGAGAGGTTAAAGGTTATGATCAGATTGGTTATGATGGAGAAGATTTCATTGTTTTGGACCTGGAGACACTGACATGGATCGCTCCAAAACCACAGGCTGTCATCAGCAAAAACAGGTGGGATAGTGACGGATATGTTGCAAACCAGGAGCAGACCTACTTAACTCAGACGTGTCCTGAGTGGCTGAAGAAGTATGTGAGCTATGGGAGGAGAACAGGTATTACTAAACATCATGTGCTTTACAATGGTGTTTCTTAAATTATTTTACTGTATTTTTATGTTTGATATATTTTTTATTCCAAGTTGGATGAAATTAACTGATCAAGCTGTATCTGTATTTTAAAATCTATACTATGTTTATAAATCAGTAACAATCATTCTGTCCATTGCAATAAAACAACTGGAAAATGTTTATTATATTTATTCTCCAGATCTTCCCTCAGTTTTCTTCCTCCAGAAGTCTTCCTCTTCTCCAATCAGCTGCTTCGCTACAGGTTTCTATCCCAAAGAAGCAGAAATGTTCTGGAGGAAAGATGGAGCAGAGATCAATGATAGTAGAGCAGAGATCAATGATAGTAGAGCAGAGATCCTCCCTAACAATGATGGAACCTTCCAGATGACTCTGGACATAGATCTGTCCTCTGTTCCACCTGAAGACTGGACCGACTATGAATGTGTGTTTCAGTTCTCTGGAGTCAATAGAAACATCACAGAAAGACTGGAGAAAACAAAAATAATGACCAATGAATGTAAGTAACTTTAAACAAAAAGCCACATGTGTTTATAGAAATATTTGTACTGACTGGCCTTTAAATTTAAATTCAGAATTTAGACCAAAAGCATGTTTTCTCTGTGTCATAATCTTAGCCTGAAACAAAGTTAAAATAAGTGATTTATGTTATCTGAAACTAGCCGAGGCGGAGCTAGATGGGGGCGAGGGGTGGCCATGGGCACCCTTAGCTAAATATTGGCCACCCCCTGTGGCTATTTTACTATTTTTTTCCCTCTAATATAGATGGTGGCAGCAGGAATACTGTCAGGTTAAATATTCAAAAAATGTTAATTTTTCATTTGTTAACAGTTGTTAACAGGCAACAAAAACACTGTGGTTAATTATGCAGATCAATATGCAAACATTAAAGATTATCATTTTTAGCACTTGTGTTGTTTGGCAAGGAGGAAATGATGTGTCTTTGTAAATGATTCAGGAGTCTTCAGTGAAATCATACTGTAGATCAATAACTATTTTAATAAAAACGTATTAAATAATCAATTTATGTAGATTTTAGTCCTTGTAAATATCAGTTTTATTCAGAATGATTATTGATAAAAGTTGATAAGTAATCACAATGAAAAAGATGTTCAATCTAGAGCTTAAACCTGAAAGAATTTTATCCTCTATACCTTTTATCTAGAAAGTACGGATGTTTAAATATGTGTCTATTTGTTAGCAAAGGTTGTAGGACAGTATAGTTATATTTTATTTAGAAAAAAATGATGTTGTGGATGTTCATTTTCCTTTTGAACAGGGTAGATTGACCGTGAGGTTCTGCACCTATCCACTTTCGGCTTACATTGGTTATTGCCTGGCCACCCTTATTAAAATTTTCTGACTACGCTTCTGGAAACTGGGATAAAGGCCATGAACACAACTGTGACTCTACATTGATGTGACCTTTTCTCTTATTTTAAAGCATATCTCACTATAATGATCGTCGCAGTTGGTTCTGCTGTTGCTGTTCTTGCTCTTGTGATCGGAGTCGTTCTTTACAAGAAAAAGAACGGTGAGAGATGAATAACTTTTCTTCCTTTTGTGGGTTTTTTTTATTGTTGACCTTTTATTCAGAGTGAAAAACATCTACGAAACAGTAACGGTACAGCCTGTCAGCAGAATCTGGACTTTCTATGTTAATCTAAGAAAAGGAAAGATGATTGAAGTAGGTGAAAGTAACGACTAGCAGACTCCATGCTGGCCAGGCAAATATTAAGGCGAAAAAAAGCAGACGAAACTGGCAATATTTTCACAGGTTTAGGCGTCTGGTTCAGCGTGAACTGGTGTTGATCTAGTGTTTGCTATCAACAATATTGCTGCAAGTTTTATTTGGTAAAATCAAAGCTTTACACTGTTTACTTGTATACCGGTACTTTTTTACGTTTAATATTTAGAAAAACACTAATCAGTTTATTACCGGTTATCGGCTACAAGAAAAAGAAAAGGAGATATCAGCTGTGAAAAACCATCAACATAAATCCCAAATTACAGCAGAGAGGCAGTTGCCTCTTTGTAAATCCACCCCATGAGGTTTGTTAAAGGAATAACAACACTAAAAATGTTTCCTAGAAAACCTCTGACTCCGTAATTTGCCATCAATTCTTTAATTTAGAAAGAGCTGAATCAATATTCTGCCCATTCTGGACTTTATATAGCTTATGATAAGTAAATATGATTTGAGTAGGAGATTTGTTGAAGGTGTGTAAAATATAACTTAAAGGCAAAATTAGAATAACTTAAAGATCTCTAAATATTTTGCACGATTAAATCCTTTATATCAGGGGTTCTTAACCTTTTCGACCTTGAGGCCCAATTTTTATAGTACAAAGTGGCCCTGGGGCCCATTATATATTAACACTGTACAGTTTGATTTATATTAAATAATAAACCAAATCCACTTATTGCTTAACAAGCAAAAAAAATGTCTAATAAAATGACATGATAAAAGGGGATCATCACAAAAACTTTTATTAAACGTTTACATAAACCTGCACACATACATCAAGACACCGAACAGGCTGATAATTCATGGACCAAATCAAGCTGTGATAAGAAAAAATTTCAAGGATCAATTCAGGCTTTTTAATCATAATAAAAAAAGACCAATAGTAGGATTTTTACTTTAAATTAATAAAATAAATGAGATATATATATATAAGTATAAATAAAAGTATAAATAAATCATGAAATCAATAAATAGGGGCGATAAAATAAATGCATTC